GTTTTACCAGAGGTGAAAAATTAAATTAATATGTTCTATTAATTTAAAAATAAATTTTAATTAATAATTTAAAAAAATCAATTTTCAAAACCTTGGCTTTTTGTTGGCTGCCAATAAAAAATCAAGCTTTTGAAAATCTATTTTGTATCCTTGGCAATTCCTTGGCAACTAATAATGGCCCGATGCTTGGCTACCGATCATTGGCAGTAGCGTGATCATCCCAAGTTTAAACCATTGGTGGTCCAATGATGGTTGCCAATTGTTTTGCCATGAAAAAACCATTGGGCACCAAGCATGGCCCATTATTGAACCAATCGTTACCATTGGCAACTTCCCGTTGGGTTTAGACCATTTTGAATTTGTTTTGAGATCGGATTGGAGAGTAAGGGAATCTGTTGGGGCCTGGATGACACGAAAAAGTTTAACAAAAATATGTATGTGTATATGTATGTAAAATATGTATGTGTTTAACAAAAATATGTATGTGTATATGTATGTAAAATATGTATGTGTTTAGCAAAAATTGAAATGTAAGACTCAATATCAGTATTGACGTCATTAATGTAGATGCTAAAAGGAGGGGATCCGAGAAAGGATCCTTGAGGTACACCAGACTGCGGAAAGAATATCTGAGAAGTGTACTGACCAAGTGAAACGAGGTGTGATCTTTTTGACAGATAATTTAAAAGTAATGTTTGAAGGTTATTAGACAAATTAAGATTAGATAATTTTGAGCTTAAAATTTCATGATCTATTGTATCAAAGGCTTTAGAAAAGTCAAGGTATACAATATCAACCCGTAAACCGCGCTGTATATCAGAGTTGACAATTTGAGTAAAAATGGTAAGATTAGTAATTGTAAAGCGTTTACTGATACAACCATGTTGTTCGTCAATAATTACAGGAGCGAGAGATGTTTAGATTGTTTCAAGAATTGCGCGTTCAAAAACTTTTGCAAAATTTTGTATGAGAGCAATTGGCCTGTAGTTGGAAATCAATGACTTTTCGCCAGCTTTGTACACTGGAATAATTTTAGCAGATTTCCAAGGATGTGGAAAAATTTCCGTTTTTAATGCGATGTTAAAAATTGTAGTCAAAGGGTCGACTAAAACACGGAACTGCAATTTAACAAATAACCATTTGTTATACATTTAGCTGGACTTCTCGTATTTGAAAAGTTTTTTAACTCCTTCACGCCCATGCGATATATATCTTCCACCTACAGAAACATAAATATATTTAAACAAAATTAATATTTTTAGTTCAAATATAGTGTATTTTCTTTAGGAAGAATAGGACTGAAAATGCAATCGCTGATTACGAATCCATAGTTAGTTTAAAACATTAAAAATGGCGTAGCCAATACAGCAGACGGAAAATAATATGTTATTGAATCTAATTTCTTATTATTTCACAGCGGATTATCTTATCTTTATTTTGCTGACTTGTTTTTCTCCATGAGTTAGGCTGAAAGTTCTGAATACCCATCTTGTTAGTAAAGAAGGCACTTGCTACTTCTTTTGCCCTTTCCTGGTTGCCTATTCTTAACTCTTCGGACATTAGTCTCATCGTCAGAGATTCGAAAGCTATGTTCCCATATTTCATTGATTCCAACACAGTGTGAAAATAATAAAATTTGGTTGATAATTTAATTTTTTTAAATGTTATGCACTACACTTTCACTGTAGTACCAGGAAAAATCATAAAAATGTTTTTGAATGAGCGACAGATAATCTTCCAACTTCAAATCAAAAATAACGTTTAGTTTCGTTCAGATTTCATTAGCACTTGTACAGCTAAGTAGAAGGTCTATACTCTATCGGCTTTTTCTCCACACAAAACAAAACAAGAGGAATATATTTTTTTCTGTGACAACGACCTTAAGTCGACTTGAACTGTTTACAGGAGCAAATGCATTTCGAGTTGTATTCCTTGTCAATAAATCACATTTTGATTAGTTTTGACGATTCATCTTTGTTCACTAATGTTGGTTCACAACATTTACTTATCAATGTAAAGTTGTTTCACATAAGTGTAAATTGTTCAAACAATCTTGTGCAAATAACATCTAGTGACATTTTGAAACGTTAGAAAATTTATTGCAATTCTTATTGCAATAAGAGAGAGGAGAGCTTTTCACTGCCAAGTTTTTAAATTCTGACATATTTTTTTTAAAATGCAGACAAACTTTAAAACTTATATAGCTGTCATCCTTTAAGTCTCATTTTAAATTGAAGACAAAAGAAGTTTAGAAATCTTATTCGGTTCGCAAGATATTATTCACAAATTATGTCACGTTTTTGAAGAGGGGAAGTGTTTACTAAAAGTGACAGAATGTGTGTTTCACATGTAAAATTACATTAAATTGTATGACAGAGGGCTGCGGGGGGTAAAATATCTCAAAAATTGCGTGCTATCATTTGCAAACGCTCCCATATTTGTCGATTGCTAAAATTTTTATGTAATTTTTTTAAATTTTGAATTGTATATCATTTAACGTAGAATATTATAAGCTTTTAAATAGTATATTTTGTTAAGTCGGTGAAACCAGAGACCCACCGGCCGCCAGCAAACAGAAGAAACCAAAGGCGCCGACACACATAGTAGCGCGGTGGCCCTATACGGTTCAATCAACGCAAAAAAACAAACGCCAGCTATTACAGTTTATAGAAAAAATTGTAATAGTCACATTTTAAAAAGCAATAATCTCCCTTTAATTTGTGACCAAGAAATAAAAATTTGGTCTAAAATTGTTCGAGTTATGCATTTTTTTCGATTTATTTTCCAATTTACGTTTTTCTGATACGGGCGGGTGGAGACGCTGGCTATTAAAAATTGTTTGAACATATTCTTATTGGTCCAGTGACAAGAAGGATTAATCCCTCTTTAATTTGCGACTAAGAAACAAAATTTCGGTCAAAAATTATTCAAGTCATTAATTTTTTTTGAACTTTTTTTCCATTTTTCGTTTTTCTGCTACGGGCGGGTGGGGACGCTGGCTATCAAAAATTGTTTAAACACATTTTTATTGGTCCAGTAACTAAAAGGATTAATTTCTCTTTAATTTGCGACCAAGAAACAAAAATTCGGTCAAAAATTATTCAAGTTATGAATTTTTTTGGAACATATTTCGATATTTTCGTTTTTCTGATACGGGCGGGTGAGGACGCTGGCTATTAAAAATTGTTTAAACATATTCTTATTGGTTTAATGACAAGAAGCATTAATCCCTCTTTAATTTGCGACCAAGAAACAAAAATTCGGTCGAAAATTATTCAAGTTATGAATTTTTTTTGAACATATTTCGATATTTTCGTTTTTCTGATACGGGCGGGTGGGGACGCTGGCAATAAAAAATTGTTTAAACATACTCTTATTGGTCGAATGACAAGAAGCATCAATCCCTTTTTAATTTGCGAACAAGAAACAAAAATTCGGTCGAAAATTATTTAAGTTATGAATTTTTTAAAAATTTTTTTCCAATTTTCGTTTTTCTGATACGGGCGGGTGGGGACGCTGGCTATCAAACTTTTTTTAAACATTTTCTTATTGGTTAAATGACAAAAAGTATTAATCCTTCTTTAATTTGCGACCAAGAAGCAAAAATTCGGTCAAAAATTATTCAAGTTATAAATTTTTTTTGAACATATTTCGATATTTTCGTTTTTCTGATACGGGCGGGTGGGGACGCTGGCTATCAAAAATTGTTTAAACATATTCTTATTGGTCCAATGACAAGAAGCATTAATCCCTCTTTAATTTGCGACTAAGAAACAAAATTTCGGTCAAAAATTATTCAAGTTATTAATTTTTTTAAAACTTTTTTTCCATTTTTCGTTTTTCTGCTACGGGCGGGTGGAGACGCTGGCTATCAAAAATTGTTAAAACATATTCTTATTGGTCCAATGACAAAAAGGATTAATCCGTCTTTAATTTGCGACCAAGAAACAAAAATTAGGTCGAAAATTATTCAAGTTATGAATTTTTTTGAACATATTTCGATATTTTTGTTTTTCTGATGCGGGCGGGTGAGGACGCTGTCTATTAAAAATTTAATAAAATAACAATTTGCAATTGTTTCATTTTAAAAGGCGATAATCCTTTTTTTCTTTTCTATTAAAAAAAAATTGTTAGAAAACTGTTTGAGTTTTGAATTTTTTTATTGCTTTTTTTAAAGTTTTTATATTGATTTTAGTTTGCATAAGTTACTTCTATCACTGCGATTATCTGAAGAACAAATTTATTACCCCAGAGTGTGCCGCGTGGTGGTTGCAATTTTGTACAGTCCTTTTTAAATTTTTTTTTTAAATTTGTATTCGTAATTCGTAATAAAGTGGAAAAAAATCGAAAAAAGTTCATAACTCGAACAATTTTAGACCAAATTTTTATTTCTTGGTTACAAATTAAAGGGAAATTATTGCCTATGGATTCTTCTGATGGCTGGTTTTCGGCGGGTCGCTTGTTTCACCGAGCTTTTTTTGTTAATTCTCTGACATTTATTTTTACAGAAAATCGTAATTTAAAGATTGATATGTTTTTGGGCCATGCGCGTGGATCCGTACCGATAATTTTCGACGGTAGTGTATTTTCAATAAATTTGTTATGTTTGATAAATAAGAATAATACTGTTATTATGACTAAAAAATTAATAATCTAATTAAATCAAGATGAAACAAATTAAGAAATACGTGTCTGAAGTGTAAGGGGCAGAGCCTCCCTAGTATTTAAATATAATAAAACTTAAAAAATGCACATATATGTATTTTAAAATTAATTTTTAAGTCTTAGCTTATATTTTTATCATTTTAAAAATTAACTTTCTTCAATAAGTAAATATTATTGAATATAATTACATTATACATAACATAATTTCTATTGTTTGTACAATTACTGGGTCCATTTTTCATGTTGCAGTGCATGTTTTAACATTTCCTTCATCCATATGTAGATTCTTACTTTCCTTTCATGAGCCTCCGTGTCGCAGTTGATAGAGCCTTTGTTTTATAATCCACTTGTAACGGCGGCTTGCATTAGAGACATCGTAATGGTAAATAGCAAAATAAATTTTCTTCGACAGGTATTAATATCCCAAGTATGTATGGTATGATATCAGCATGAATAGCATAAATAGTTTTTATTAATTTTAATTTAAATATTTTTTTAATGTTTGGTAATAATGCGCATGTGAAATTTCAGGGAAAAATAGAAGTCATGATGTATTGCGTTCAATGTATGTTTAATGTATATTAAACACACTATTAAACACTATGTGCAACACTATTTATACATAATATTTGATAATGATTTATACATAATATTTTTGACAGGGAAGTAACAAATTTGTAATCAGCGACCCTAAAAAATTATAAGAATCATTGCACTTTTGTTTTTTGACGGGTCAGTTTTGCTTGGGTGTGAAAGGGTTATAATTCAAAACTGGATAATAATTTCGCCAAGATTTTGTCATAGAACGGAATTCCTAAAATTTTCAAATCTTTTTCATTATTTTTGTCATGGATTTGGCTGGATAGAGACGTAAACGTCTTTAACAAGTGTTCTGGCATGAAACATGATTTTTAAAATGTTGAAATAGTTTACATTTGCTTTTGCCTGAGTAGAGACTTAGGTGTCATTAGCAAGTGTTTGGTATGGAAAAACTGCATAGTTTGAAATAAAAATTAGAAGTTATTTTTTGACTATTTTGTCAGCCATTTACCAGTCTGTAGTAAATGTTCGTTAGGAAGCCTGGGTATATATTTACCTTGTCTCAGTTTTTTTTCGCTAAAAATTTAATTCCCTCATTGAAACCTTTTCTCAGGCTTGATCATTTCTACCCAAAATGTTCTTAGAAATGAAAATTGCGTAAGCTAGCCTTGTATGTCAAATTTTCTAAATACTTGCAGGATTACTTTTCAATGTTACTTAGGAAAGATATCAATATGTTTTGATTTTTAGATTTTTGGTCTTTTAAATGCATTAGGCGACTTCAATTTAACGATGGAGTGTGTTTCGCCTTTAATATTCGCTATCTTTTGTGCTGCAATATGCCTTGACTCAATAAATTTTAGTAAAAAGGTATGAATTATTTTTTCTATTATTATTGATATAGCACAGTGAAATATAGTGCATCGCAGTATACTGCCGCGAATTATAGCACAACAAAAAATGCTGTCGTGCTATATAGCACCATGCATATATTATTAAAAAAATTACAAAATAAGAGTCAAAAATAGAATTCTTATTAGGGTTCCGTACAGGAAGTGTAGGTGTGCTGTATGAAATTCTATTAATTTGAACAAAATATTAAAAATGTTATTAGCATTGATTGAATAGTAATAGGGGCGCTCGGTGTACAGGGCAAACTCTGATTTTCCTCATAATTTGTCATTTTGTTGTCTTAGGGGACATACATAAGAATACATAACATAATAGGGAAACATAATTAGGGGACATACATAACAACATGCAGCCTAGATTTACAAATCTATTTCTTATGAACTTAAAAAGAAATGTTTAAGTAGATCATAACTAACTCATAAATTATTATAATACTATTTTCAGTTGTCGGTTTTGATAGAAAAAATAGAGAAAGATTGGACAACCTGGTCGACAGAATCAGAAATTGAAATTTTGAAAAAACACGCAAGAGATGGAAAAAATTTCAGAATGATTTATTATGGTAATAAAAGTTTAAATTCAAATACAATATACAAGCTTTATGTGCCTTCAATATTAATTTAAAAAAATTTGTAATGTTCAGTTTGCATAGCTGGATCATGTGTAAGTTTTTTCTGCATGCCAGTAATGCCAAAAATTTTAGACATAATACTACCGTTGAATGAATCGAGACCACTGCCTCCAATACTCGTGACCGACTATAAAATTATTAATGCGGATGAACATTATTTTTTAACTTTTTTGCACGGTAACATTGGTTGTTTTTGGTTAATGATGATTCTAGTAAATACTGATACCATGTTTATTATTTGTACACAACATGCCTGCGCTATCCTAGCAGCAATGGGGTACATAAAATAATTATAAATTTCCTGTATTTTTGTTGAGGAGAATTATCTATTAACCCCCGGAGCATACACCTCTTTTTTCGAACAAGAAGCACACTGTAGGGTCATTTTGACCCTCTCTACATTTTTCATTTTTTACATTTTTTAACTAATATTTTACATTTGTACTCTTAAATAATGGTACAATAAAATAAATATATATATTCTATACTGTAGTTGGTAAAAAAAGCATTTTTTGCAAGTTGGTGCAGGTGATTTTTATTTTTTGATGATATCTAGACGACAACTGACTGAGTGGAGAATTATACTCGGAGAGCATTGAAATGTGTTACTGGAACCTAAAACAATTACTTTTAGGTCATAGGACCTCTACTTGTTACAATATTTTAAATAAATTTAAGTTTAAACTAAAAGACAGAGTCACACAGACCCTGTATGCATTCCGAGGGTTAAAAGTGATATGGTTTTAAATAAATTTATTAGAATGAATTAAGGATAGGGAACATAGTCAAGGTTGTCCCATTATCAAAGTGGGCCCATCGCAATTATTTTAGACGAAATCACTAGTACCACATATGGGCATGCTTGATGAAGCTTGTCTTAGTGACACCTAACTTTTGGTCCCATTAGATTTTTAAAGAATCGAGAGTTATTCTTTTTGTGACCTCAGTACATTAACAAGAACAAGTAACAAGTAAAGTTACGGGTTACTTTTCTGTAACAGTAACGTATTACTTTTTTGTATTTGTAACCCTTTACTATGTTCCCATATTTAATATTATACCGATGACTTTAGAGAATAAAATTTAACAAGAAGATTAAAAATGTTTTGCTTATTAGAAAACGCTTATTAAATTTAATTTAAGAAAATTAAATATACTATAGGGTAAACTGCCCTAGAATAAATATTAGAAGGCAGTCTCGACTACGTATTTTGTATTTAATGGATAAATTTAACTACGATTATTGTTTTTAGATCAAAATTGACAAATCTTGAGATTAATCAAAATTGTCCAGAACGAGACAAACATTTGAAAAAAGATATTGATTCTGTCATAATTTTTTGTGCTAAACAACACGAAGAATTAATTTTGTATGTATGACCTAATATATATGTTAACACAGACAATCTAATGTAACTTTTGTAGTACGTCAGGATGTAGTAATACATTATTCATTAGAAGACTGTGATTGTACAATATCACGCTATTTGGATATGAAATCTTGGCTAAATGACGCTGAAATGTCATGAAAACTGTGACATAAATTTATGTCAAGCGTAAAACGCCACTGTAAAATTGGTATTTGAAGCGTTTAAAGATTATTACTTACAAAATTAATGATATACAGATTAACTATATAAGTTTTTAAAACCAGGAACACAATTTTTATAGTGTTGTTATGAATTTAAAAGAATATCATACCCACTGTTTGAAGATAATGACATCTTTCACAAAGGATGAATAAGAAAGTGATTAAAATCAATTATAAAGTAATATATCATAATTTATTGCTCTTTAAGAAGTGTAATTAAAATTACAATTATTATTTAACGGTGTTTGACGGTCTCTTAAACTTTTCGATAATGTGCGACTAATAGTTATCATCCAACAAATACGGCACTGGCCTGTTTAATGACGTGAATTTGGTAAACAATCATTTTCTAACAAATGTTTCTCTGTTCACAGGCACTTTTTACAAAATCTTCAAACAAACCGTTATCACAAATGTTTTTAATCAAATGAATTTAAATGATTTTGTAAATCCATGTGGAAACGCGGTTGCAGAATTGGAAATACCAAAGCAATGTAATATAAATCATATAGTCAGCTGAGCCTTTGCGCTCTCTGCATGCTTCTGCCCTCTAATGACAAATAGCCGTTAAATAATAATAATTGTAATTTTAATTACACTTCTTAAAATGCAATAAAATATGATATATTACTTTATGATTGATTTTAATCACTTTCTTATTCATCCTTTATGAAATATTTTATTATCTTTAATTAATTTTTTAAATAATAATCTTTACATACTTCAAATACCAATTTTACAGTGGCGTTTGACGCATGACATAAATTTATGTCACAACTTTCATGACATGATTTGCTTGTCATGACATGTATTGCGTGTTATACATTTTCGCAAGGGCTAAACCTCGAAATACTAAAAAACATAAAAAATTAAGAAAATGGCAAGCTTTTGAATCATAAAATCTGTAAAACACTATTTTTTTACCTTAAATGATTCACAAAAAATATTTTTTTAAATATTATTTGTAAATCAGAGGTTTAGGACCTGTATTGTACAATGACAACCAGTAATTTTTATCAGTAAAGAAAGCGCCCTCTGTAAAAGGAAGATACTTATATTTTTAAAATTTGAATTTTTTAAGACTTTTTAACACACACATTGATATGTAAAAACTTTTGTTCAATTATATTTTAAAACTTATCAGAAAAAAAAATGTTTAAATAACTTCCAATTTTAAGGCCTAAAAAAGTAACAAGACCCCTTAATAAATGCTTTGCTTTTTTGTTTTGCTTACATTGATCGCTATTTTACATACTATTACTATATATATAATTTTAATTTGTGTAGATTCCTAGAAAATTTACATAAATGTTTCTCTAAAATTTTTACGATGGGCATTGTCATTAACATGTTTCTGATAAGTGTTACCGGCTTTCAGGTAAAACGTTAAAACATTTTTATCACACAAAAATATAATATAGAAAAATCCACAGAACTGGGCGATTTTCACTTATAAAAATGAAAAACTTTGAATTGTAGGCACACTGATTATTTATGGTATATATTTGTAAGGCTTATAAGCCTTAGCCAATACCTATAGGTATTGCCTGAGATAATTTACCTAGATGGCACGCAGGCCACCTAGAAAATCCTATTAGTAAGAAAAGGACGAATATACATCAATCATTTTCTTACAAATAGAATTTTCCAGTTAATCCACGTGCCACTAGGACCCTTGTCGGATCCAGTTAAATTACCTTAGGTATTGCTGTAGATGTAGTTCCATAGCCTACTTTTGATCTAGGGTCATCCAGTGTAAACATTGTATCGTTGCAAGCCGTACAACTTACATATTCATTTAAACTTAATATTTATATTTTATATACTTAGGCGGCAACTGCAATAGATGATCTTGCAGAAACATTTAGATTTTCTGTTGAAAACGCTTCCCATATTTTTCATATATATATGATTACGTTACCTTGTCAACGATTAATTGACAACAGCGTAAGCCTTTCTGACTCAGTGTAAGTTTTTCTACTTTGATAATTATTATTATACCCATGTAAATTGAAAATCCCAAATAAGCTTTCATTTCTCTAGGCGTTACGTTTTTTACCATTATTTTCACCTCACACAGTTAATTTATTCAATAATTTAAAAAAATTATATTTAAATCTTTAACCACATAAAGTCCCCTTACGCTGAACTACTGAAAAAATGAGCCTTCACTTTTATAGCAAAGATTATTATATTAATAATATTTGTAACTTTAAAAGTTGTAAAATAAAACATGATTAGCTTAATAATTTGTCACTTACATTATTAATAAAAAAATTTAATTATAGGTACAAATCAAATTGGTATTTATTACCAACCAACTCTCGAAAGTCTTTGCTTATAATAATGAGAAGAAGTTCAGAACCACTTCAGTTTATTGTAGGGAAACTTTATACATTTTCAATGAGAAATTTTGGAATGGTAAGTATATTGTTTGGATTTACTAAAAACACAAACACATTAGGATTATGTGCTGTTTATTTCATGTGGTTTCCTGTGTTTGTGTTAAAAGTCTGTTTAATAAAAATTTTTTAAAAAATTATATTTGGAACTACGTTGTAAATCTTTTCAAATTTTAACAATTCTATAGGCGTAGCTAGAAAATTAAAAATATCCATAATCAATTAATAAATATTAACTTTTATTTAAAGGTAATTAAAACATCAATATCGTACTTCACCCTGCTTATTTCACTACAGTGAAGAAAATACTTGACTTCAAGAGAAAATGCGGATGAGATATCTATTTTTGAATTAAATTATTGGAAATTTTTCTTCGCTCTTTTCAAAAAAATGAAACATACGCACCAACTTAATACTCTTTTTTAATAAAATTATTAAGAAAATGTAACGTGAATAAGTAAAGTAATTTGAAAGATTTCACTTTGTAAATTAAACTGAGGCATTTATATTTCATTGTATATCCCGATCCTGTATTCCAGTCTGTATATTGAAAATTCAGTATTTTAGTGAGGTAAATGTTTAATCTAATTGTGGGGAACACGTGTTGCGATTTGTCTTTTTTTCATGTCGCTCATTAGAACCGGTTGCTCGTTTCTGCTCGCTGAGAAACCTAATAGACAATACTAAAGTATGTACTGACATTTTAAACTTCGAAAATTTTTTTAGTGGGTGCAAAAATCTAATAATTAATGTTGGTATTCGAAATTGCATATATAACAGAAAGGAAAGTCATAATTTGAAAGATAAACGTAAAGTTTGGAATGTAAATCTTATTTTAATGAAAGACATTGGATGTAAGGAAATAACAGGTTTTTTGTAATGCAATTATTCCTCATTTACGTTACAGTTGAAAATTTGCAAATAAGATGGACTTCTATAAAAGACGGTTTTGTTCGGTCACATAAAAGGGTCACACCGTACAAATATGATAAACAACTGCATTATTATTAAAAATATACAAAAATATAAGATTAATAAATTATATATGAACAAAATAAAAATAATTTCGAATATTAATTTCAGCAGGGCAGTTCAAGTTACCTGTCAACGTTGAAGGTAGGTTATCACAAAAAATATTAGATATTCGTCAAGTGAAGAGGAAAGAATCTGCTGCAGAAGAGTCACTTAAACTTATTTAAAAGATCAAAAAATTGACGTTGCTTTCAAAAACAGAATGTGTCTTCCTAAAACATTATATGAAAATGTAGTGAACTGTATATATATAAAACGTATCAATTAAATCAGTTTTATTCATATTAGAAACTATTAAAATTCGTGATAAATTTCGTGAAATTCCTAAATGCACTAATAGATTTAAGCCAAATAGAAATCAATTCTGACTTATCGCGTTTAATTTCTACTATTAAAGTGCCTTGTAATCTTCCAGTTGCTGTTGCCGAGAAAAGCGCATCGCATAATAAAAAGTCTCCTAATCCACTTCATGTACCTCTTGAAACTGGTAAATTTTCTCGCGTAGCTAAAATCCGCTTCAATGAAAATGCACATGACAGTATATATACACACAAAAAATAACGTAAATCGAGTGCCTTCAGAAGATGATTTCGCAAAGAAAAAGAGAAAAAAAATTGAATCTGTGAATAACGAAATTGAAAATGCTCTGGTGGAAACCGCAGATGAATTACACATACTTACAGGTAATTCGGATGATTACATGAAAATGAAAAATAAATTCATGCGAAGACAGATGCAATAAAAAATAAACTATAAGTTAGTTGATGCGTCTAAAGTGATTTTTGACTTAATTAGAAATAATAATTTTCAAAAATTATCTATGTATAAGTAAGGAAGAGAATTGTTAAAGCGCTACGTATTATCGAAGAATACATAGTCGTTGAATAATAAATTTATTACTACAAATAATTTTATGTAACTGCTTATTTTCAGATATTTTGTTAAGACACAATTTGTTGTCAAAAAAAACTTCATATTACAAAAAATATTATTGCTCATTACAAAAATGCAATACATCCAGTACTCTATCCTACACCCAGAAAAAATTTTATTTAAGTCAAATAAAATTTATTTGAGTTAAAAAAAGTCTATTTGTTTCAAAGCTCAATAAATGTATGTTATTTGTTTTAAATAATAATTTTACCCCAACAAAAACATCTTTGATGCAGAAGGTTCCGCCAAATAATGTTTTTGTAATTTTCCAAACAATTATTGAAATATATATATTTATATTATATAGTATATTATATTATTATAATAATGTACTATAATATAAATTTATTGATTTTATTAACATTACTAATTACATGTTTGAATTGTTTGAATTCAAAATAGAATGAGAAAT